TCTTATGTGGTGAGAGATAGCAGTCTAGTTTCATTTTTCTGCTCATGGACATCCAGTAATTTTAGGACCAATTGTTAAAGAGACTGTCCTTTGTCAATGAATGTCCTTAGCATCTCTGTTGAAAATCAGTTGGCTGTATATGCAGGTATTTATTTATGAATCTCTATTCTGTTCAATTGATCTATGTTCAACTTGCTTTTACAACAGCCCACTCTTACAGGAACTAATTAGAAAAACTGAGATGGCCTTAAACTATTTGTGAGAGGTCCATCCCCTTGTCCCTGATACCTCACACAAGGTGCTGCCTCCCAGCATTGCCTCACTGGGTATCAACAGCATGAAGACTTAGCTGAAACACTTAAACTATAGCACTCATTCTTGCATACCTTGCAAGCCAAGAGGCAGGGAGATCACTTCAGTATCTTATAGTATCCCACTCTTCCTTCCCAGGAATCAATCCTGCTCTTTCAATTTCCTAAAGAAGCCCTCCTGGCCAGTGCTCATTATCTTTACTCCACAAACCTTCCCTCATTCATCATTTCTTCTCCCCATGAGTGACATCATCCAAGTCAGAGGCCTAGCAGATGTGTTAGATACCACGTTGGTCTAACACTGTCCATATCTAGGTCATCAAAAAGTCCTTTGATAGCTACCCCTCCTACATCTCTAGACTATCTTCCTCTTTTCTTTCTATTTCTTTTTATTTTAATTTGACAGAGGGAAGATACATGCACTCAACAGAGTGAGAGAGAGAGAAAGTGAGAAAGTACCACAATCCCTTCTCCTCCATCTTTCCCTCTTTCAGGATCTTAGGCACACACACCACAGGCTTCCTTCTTCTTTTCTTTTCCATTTTTTTTAAAGAGAGATTTTTGCTATAGGGTGTATGCATGAGAGACAAAGACAGAAAGCGAGAAATCACCCCCAGGGGTATAGACAACCGCAATCCCCTCTTTTCTATCCTCTTCTCAGGATCTTGGGCATGCACACACATGTTCCCCACATGCAAGTGTTAAGCCACCAGGTCTGAGACTCAAACCAGTCGATTACATGGAGTCCAGTAAGACTATGTCATCTCACATGAGTCCAGCCATTATGTCACCTGCTGGTCCCCTCCTTCTTATTTTCTTACTGACTGTCATAGTCCAGGTCCTTTAGGCTTTATGCTTAGGCCAGGCTGGGAAGAGTCTTTGAAGTTGCAAACTTAGACCCTCTTGCAGGCCAAGACCATCTTCGTACTGCTGAGGGTTGGTCAGTGTTCGAGCAGATGAAATACTGAAGCGATGTGTTTTTAGTTGTATGATAAGCCCTAAGTGTTTTTGACTGTCCTAACATCTACAACTAAATCAACCATGGTGGACAGATATGGCCAATAAAACAAAGAAGAAATATCAGTTACTGAGAATGTCCAGAGTTCCATACCCAAGTAGCAAACCACTTATGAAATAAGCATAGACTCAATTATTTCTAAAATGTTCTGGTCTCAAACCATGTAGACCAAACAAAACTGAGTCTTAGTAGCAGTTACACATAAATTGGTGCCATAACATGTGCTGGACACATAGCCATGAGCAACAATGTGATTTTCATGGTCCACAAAGACAGTACAATTAGGCTGGTACTAACAGATCTGGGAAACAGGAATACAGCTGGGACATGAGAGGGGGTTTTGAGTAGCTTTTGCTTCTATGTAGTATCTGTAAAAGGACTTGCAATTCATAAAAGGACTAATGCTAAAATTTTTATCACTTAATCAAAAGCTCAGACTTAAGGGGGAAAAAAAAGGTTTTTCCATAAGGCTTGTGCACTCCGAAGAGAGAAGAAGACAGTGAAAGTGAGAAATCACCTCCCAGGGGGGAATGGCCACGCTGCAATACCTTCTCCCCATTTTCCTCCTCAGATTTTGGGCATGCACACGCATCTGGCATAATTTTCAAGCTGTCAAGTCCAGGATTTGAGCCATGGTCAGCCATGTGGAGTCCAGTGCCTTAACCACTTTGCCACCTGTCAACCCCAAAAGCTCAGACTTTTAAAAAGAGATCAATAAAACCACTATTGAGTATTTAAAACTTTTCTATTGAAAATGCAGCAGAACCAAATTAATGGCTTTAGAGAGTCTTCTAAGGCTGAAAGTTTTAGTTAACCAACCACAACTAATTTATATTTTATTAGCACAATGTTAAGCAAAATTGCTGACCTACCTTTTTTTTTTTTTCCAAATCAGTTTCATTAACTTCCTGGCTTTGTTCATGTATGAACAAATTCTGGATAAATTTCATAGATTCGAGTTTGCCCCCAAAATTTCACTTAGTGAACTTAAATGAAAAAGGCACTACCTTCACTGATTTAAAAAGCAGAAACTTTAGAGGCAACTCAATGCAAAGACAAATGTAAGAGCTCAGGTGGAAAGCAGGTGCATTAAAAGGAACCATCAAAGCACCCAGCTCCAGGCTTCACATCAGAGGAAAAGGAAACATGATACCAAAAAGTCAGGACATAGACAAAAAGGATCAATTACTACCCAAATCTTCAAATCAAATTCAAGGAGAAAAAAATTTTCACCATCCCTCATCTAGATCACTTAAGTGGATTCTACAGCCTGCTTCCCAACAAGATCATACCTGCCCTGGTCTTGACTGTAGGTCAAACAATACCAAATAGATGCCAACCACTTTCCTATATATAAAACAAGATGTTCTCATGACTTTAAAAAAAAAAAAAAAAAAAAGTTGTTTTTTTTTTTTTTTTTTTTTTTTTTTTATTCACCCACACACAAAGTTCATACTTTTTT